GGTCATCCCATGCAAAGAGTAAAATACTATCTTCAAAAATAATCAGAGAGGGCTGGGAAGGTGTCTCAGTGGTAGAGCGCTTGCCTTGTAAGCATGAGGCCCTGGGTTTGATTCCTCAGCACCACATAAACAGAAAAGGCTGGAAGTGGTGCTGTGGTGGCTCAAGCTTTGAGCGCTAGCTTTGAGCTGAAGAGCTGAGGGACAGCGCCCAGGCCAAGTTTAAGCCCCACAACTGACCAAAAAAAAAAAAGAAAAAAAAACCACAAAAACAGAGAAAAGCAAGGCTGGAAGTATGACTCGAGTATAAATAATAAGTATAAATAATATGAATGCCTGCCAAGCAAGAGCAAGGCACTGAAGTCAAACTCCAATACTGCAAAAAATAAAATACAAACTCATGTTTCATACAAAAAGTCAAAACTCAAGACATGTTGTTGAGTCTGCTGGGCACGGTAATAAATGCCTACCATAACAGCTTGATAATTATTATTGATGTGTTCGCATATATACATTTAATTAACTTGCTTTTTCTTTTTGGTGCTAATAGTGGGCTTGAATTTAGGACCTCTATCTCTAGCTGGACTTTTTTGGCTAAGACTGGAGCTCTACCACTAGAGCCACACCATCTCCAGTTCCAGCTTTTCATTGGCTAATTAAATACAAGGGTTTGTCTACTCAAGACTGGCTTCAAAACTCAACCTTAGTATCTCAGCTTCCTGATTAGCTAGAATTACACATGAGCCAGTAGTGCTTGGCTTGGCTTACTAACATAATAATTAGTAATGCCACATTAATGAAAGATAAAAGTATCATTGAGAAATTCTCAAAAAAATGAATACCAAGCCAGGAGTCAGAGGCTCACTCCTGCAATCCAGGAGGCTGAGATCTGAGGAATGAGGTTCAAAGCAAGCCTGGACAGGAAAGTCCAAGAGACTCTTATCTTCAATTAACCACCAAAAAGCCAGAAGTAGAGCATGCTCAAGTGGTAAAACATTAACCTTGAAGGGAAGTGGGAAAGGGGGAGGGGGAAGCTCAGGGACAGTACCTAGGCTGAGTTAAAGCCCCAGCATTTACACACAAACGCGCGCGCACACGTACACACATACACATACACACACACACACACACACAAGCACACACAAACACAGAGCAAAGAAACAAAAAAGTTGTAGTTCTGCAATTACAAGCTATTTATATGTAGGATGAGTTATTATTAACAGTTCTTTTTAATAATAAGGTTTCTAAAGACTAACATGGGTGCTTTGTAGCATTTATTGTGGGGGTTTGTTCTTCTTGTGGTGGTTCTTACACGTTTTTTTGGGGGGGGGTCCGGTCGTGGGGCCTGAACTCTGGACCTGGGTGCTGTCCCTCAGCTCTTCAGCTCAAGGCTAGCGCTCTACCACTTGAGCCACAGTGCCACTTCCAGCCTTTTTCTTTTTGCTTATGTGGTGCTGAAGTATCGAACCCAGGGCCTCATGCAAGCAAGGCAAGCATTCTACCACTGAGCCACCTTCCCAGCCCAGGTTTTTTTTTGTTTGGTTTTGATATGGGGTCTTCCTCTGTAGCCAAGGCTAGCTGCAACTCTAAAATGTCATGAAAATCTATTAGGCAGCTTAAATTCTGAAATAGAGTCGAAACATTATATATGATGATCAAACTGTCTATCAAGCCAGCAAGTGAAACATTTCTCTCCCAGACTCCTCTACAGACACCTTTATAAGATCTTTGGCCTGGTGCTGGAGGCTCACATCTGTAATCCTAGCTACTCAGAAGGCTGAGATCTGAGGATGGTGGCTGGAAGCCACTGAAGCCAGAAAAGTTCCCATATGAGGCTTATCTCCAATTAACCACTCAAAAGCTGGAAGTGCTGCTGTGGCTCAAAGTGGTAGAGAGCTAGCATTGATGATAAAGAGCTCAGGGACAGTGCCCAGGCCCAATGCCCTACCATTGACATACATACATACATACATACATATATACATACATACATAAATAAATGCACAATTAAAAAAAAATCTTTTGCCCTGTTAATACAGGACATCATCACCTTCTGGTCTCATTTTTATGGATGAGAAAAAATGCTACTACTGAATATTAATGCCTCATGCATGTTATCCTAGCAACTTAAGAGGCTGAGATCTGGAGGATTTTTAGTTTGAAGTCAGCAAGGGCAGAAAAGTCTGTAGAGATTAAAAAAAAAAATCCAAGTGGTAGGAGCACTAGCTGAACAAGCAAGCAAAGCAAGCAAATTGAGAATAACATTCAAGGCTCTTAGTTTAAACTGCACTACCACTAAAAAGGGGGGGGAAACTAATTAAGTATTTCTCTATCATACTTATTTCAATGATGTTAAAAATGCAAAAAATAATAATAAAATAAAATAAATTGTAAGTACTGGTAGCTCACATCTATTATCATACCTACTCAGGAAACAAAAATCTAAGGATCAAGACTTGTCATCCTGGACAGACAAATCCTGTGACTCCAATTATACAGCAAAAAGCTGGAAACAGTTAAGTGCTGGTAACTTACAACTATAATCCTAGCTACACAAAAAGCTAAGTGCAGCACAGTGGCAAAGCATTTGCCCAGCAAGTGCAACTTTCTGGGTTCAATCCCCAGTACCAAAAACAGAAAAGAGAAAAAAAGGGGGAGGGGGCTAAAATCTTAAGATCAAGGTTCACAGCCAAGCTGAAGCAGAAAAATACATGAAACTCGTATCTTCAATTAGCCATCAAAAAACTAGATGTGCAGCTGTGGTTAAAATGAAGAGTACTAGCCTTGAATAAAAAAGCTCAGGGAGGGGCTGGGAAGATGACTCAGTGGTAGAGCCCTTGCCTTGCATGCCTGAGGCCCTGGGTTCGATTCCTCAGTACCACATAAGCAAAATGAAAAAAGCCCGAAGTGGCGCTGTGGCTCAAGTGGTAGAGCGCTAGCCTTGAGCTGAAGAGCTGAGGGACAGCGCCCAGGCCCAGAGTTCAGGCCCCACAACCGAACCCAAAAAAAAAAAAAAGCTCAGGGAGGGCTGGGAAGGTGGCTCAGTGGTAGAGCGCTTGCTTTGCAAGCATGAGGCCCTGGATTCAGCACCACATAAGCAAAAAGAAAAAAGCCCGAAGTGTCCTGTGGCTCAAGTGGTAGAGCGCTAGCCTTGAGCTGGAGAGCTGAGGGACAGCGCCCAGGCCCAGAGTTCAGGCCCCATGACTGGACCCAAAAAAAAAAAAAAAAATGTGTGTGGGGAAGATTCCATTTTTATTTTATTTTATTGAGAATGGATTGAGAATTACCTCATGCATACTAAGCAAGTACAAATGAGCTACACACCAGCCCTTATTTTGACATAATCTCACTAAGACTGACCTCACGTGTTGGCATTACAGGGGTATGCCACTTCATCTGGCTGAGGCTCTTTTAACAAAATAGTTTCAACTGCATTTACTACAAGAAAAATGTCAAGAGGTGTTTCCTACTGCACGGGTCTTGGTATTTTTTGTTTGGAATATGTCCTTAATTTAACTCTACCTATCAAAGAAGAAGCTATTCATTTAGACATCTTTAAGAAAAAGCACTGTTGCAAAGAAAACAAGCTGACAATCTTTTCTTCATTTCAGTAATTTCTGGTAAATAAGAAATAAAACTACGGGCTGGGAAGGTGGCTCAGTGGTAGGGTGCTTGCCTTGCATGCATGAGGCCCTGGATTCACTTCCTCAGCACCACATAAGCAGAAAAATCCAGAAGTGGCACTGTGGCTTAAGTGGTGGAGCACTATCCTTGAGCTGAAGAGCTGAGGGAGAGTGCCCAGGCCCAGAGTTCAGGTCTCACGACCAACCAAAAAAAAAAAAGAAAGAAAAAAGAAAAAGAAAAAAAAAAAACCAATCTCAAGGTTTAATCCTACTACCTTCCCACTAAGTGCATCTGTGAAGGGAAGCCACCTGTAATCATTTCAGCCAAATCCAAAAGTCAAAGGATCTTGACTATTTAAATGGATTTTTATTCCATTTAAATAGCTTCATCATCATGCTTTATCTTCTAAATTAAATGATACTGTATGATCAACTAACATCTCTGCATAGAAAGTAAGTTAAGAATACTTTATATTAGAACTCAGAAATATCAAATATCAATGAATTTTGGAAATGGAGCTGTGGCTCAAAGTGGCCTTGGGTACAAAAAGCTCAAGGACATGGCCCAGGCCCAAGATTTCAAGGCCCAGGACCAACACACACATACACAAACAAAAAAAGAAATAGAGATGAATTGTAAGTGACATTACTCTCAAAATAAGCTATAGAGATTTAAATATTCAGTAATGTTTTCCTCACTGACTCCAAATATTTGTGCAAACATGCACAAATACTAAGAATTTAAACTATTCTGGTTACTAGATTTCTGAACTCAAAATATAAACCTTATACAGCATTAAGTTCTTCTGTATTCCCAATCAGTGTACCTTAAGAAAACAGTTCTGGGGCTGGGAAGGTAGTTCAATGGTAGAGTGCTTGCCTTACATGCATGGGGCCCTGGGTTTGATTCCTCAGCACTACATAAACAGAAAAAGCCGGAAGTGGCACTGTGGCTCAAGTGGTAGAGCGCTAGCCTTGAGTTGAAGAGCTGAGAGACAGCACCCAGGCCCAGAGTTCAAGCCCCACAACCAACCGAAAGAAAGAAAGAAAGAAAGAAAGAAAGAAAGAAAGAAAGAAAGAAAGAAAGAAAGAAAGAAAGAAAGAAAGAAAGAAAGAAAGAGAAAAACAGTTCTGAAGCACAGAAACAATTATGAAATTACAATTTCTGTTGTAAGCCACAGTGCCAATAGATACTTATAATACATCCATTACTGTAAATTTAAATCACCAATTAGAATAAACAAACTATAAGGGATGCAAATCTCTAATAAATGTCAAAAAAAATCCTTGCTGAGTATTTTGAAAAAAAAATTAAGACTAGCAAGGAGGTCACCCTTGTAGTATACTCATAATCAAATAATGAATTTAATAAATACGTACAGTTCCAGAAAGGACATCATGGGGACAACAGTTGAGAAGGTGACTCTTGCATACTCTGTCATCACTGAATTTGATTCGTTGACGAGTAGTATCTCCTGTAATATAGAAAAGTTAATAACATTCAAGGTTAGACAACTAGAAAGTATTTATTTTCTGAAAGTCCTAGTATCACTAGCTTTTTATGTGTGGCTATACACACATACATTTATAAATCAACCCAAGAGGGATTAGTTTTTTATATAACATCCTATAGAAAAACTACTTTAGATAACATGCAGTTGCAGTATGTGTACTGTACATGTAACTCAAATAGTCAAAGTAGAAAAGCAATGCATTCTGTTAAATAGGAGTATTTAAAAAAAAAAAAAGCATAGCATTTTAGAGCAGGAATGGACCTTAAAGATTATCAAGTCCAACTCCTTCATATTGCACATGAGGAAACTGAGCCCCCCACCCCCACCCCCCCGAAGGTTAAGCAACTTGCAGCAGACCCACTAAGAGAGTTTCTACTGGTATATAATGTCCCCTTCTTGACAATAAGCACTGATTTATTTTGTAATTATTTACATTAATTAAAAACATAAAAAGTAATCTTGCAAACATTGCATACACACTGCGAATCCCCACTGAACCCCAGACGCCATTTCTTCCACTATTTTGTTCCAGCTGAAGTGTCTCCCTTTTGCTGCTGGGAGGAGTTAGAGAGGGTAGAATAGCGCGTTTAAGAGCGTACAAACCTGGAAGAAGGACTTACACACCAGTCAAACAAAGGCACATTGCCTAAAAGAAATGTTAACTTTAATGCCTCCAAAGGTTCCATACCTCCAAGTTTTATGTGGACTATACTGTATTGCCAAACTAGGTACATTTAAATTTACCCTGTCTTCATATAAAATAATGCAGCTCCTAAGCAACAATCTGAGAAGAATCCAACCTGCTTATTAAATCTGGCTTTAATAAAAACTTTATGGAAGCTAAGAAAAAAAAAAGGTAAAACTTGAGGTGTTACAAAATATAGATTTTGGGATTTTCTGGCTTAGTCTCTTTGGAGAAGAAAGAAAAACTCCTAATGATGTTTCTTCTCTATATACAGAATGATAAGCCCTAAGAAATGTAGGTATTCTATTATTAGCCTTAAATTTGTATCATTGGTGAATGAAAGAAAACCTACTGGTAGCAAAAGCTGTTGAAGCAAACCAAGAGATTCTAAATATCTCTACAGTTCACAAGACCCCTGGAGCGCCCCAAAAGCTCACCTAAGCAGTAATTCAAGCTCTTAATTTCTGTTTTTGTGCATTTAAATAACAAAGAAAAGTTAAACCGTTACCTTTTTAATGGCCTTACATTGAAGTACTTAAATTCAACTAAATACTATGGGGTAGATTTTGTTCAAATTGTTTTAACTTTGTTAAGATTTAAAGAACACTTTGGCAACCAGCGTATATAATGTTTCTCAAGAACAATAATAGTTAAAATGACAGCTTCACAGCAGTTCAACAATAGGTTTTCTAGAGACTCTTTGGTTTTTAGTAGATAACCTATCTAGTGTTCAAGCCTGCTACTACAATAAAAAGTTTCTTTGATGGTCCTTTTTTCCTTTTAAACACAACTGCTTTTGTTCCACATTCATTAACACATCTGAAAAGTTAGCAATAACTCACGGCTCGGCGAATGCGGGGCCTTTCTGACACTCCCTTGCAGACTGAAGTAGGCAGGCATAGATACATTGAACCTTTACAAATAAAACAAGGGGCCAGATTGTTCAGTTTGTATAGAATAGACTCTGCCAGCAATTTCAATACAGCATCTAGAAGTACATGGTGACTGTGAGGATTCTTGTATAAAAAATAAAAGGGAACAAAATCAGGGTGTTTTATGTATTTTCTCTATTTTTTATTGTTTTTACAATACTGACTCAACAAGTGTAACCCCATACAAGATTATGACTGGCCATAAGTAAAAGTCCAAGACTGGAGCTGTTGTAAGGTACCCTTGGGCCAAGTAAAGTTTAAAAAAAAAAGTTCCTTTAAAAAATATGCAATAAGGGGCTGGGAAGGTGGCTCAGTGGTAGAGTGCTTGCCTTGCATGCATGAGGCCCTGGGTTCGATTCCTCAGCACCACATAAGCAGAAAAAGC